ATGCAGTAACTGAATTTAATGAATTGTATTCAACTTCAAAATATATAAAATAATAAAAATTTATTTTCATATATATTTATCTACTTATTTACTTACTTATCTAGATATTTATGTCTCATCTCTGTAAGTCTATGTATACATCTATATATGTATCTCATATATATCTATATTCATACATCTATATGTCTCTGTATACTTCTGTACATGTATGTATCTCCACATATGTGTGGAGAACCACTTCGTTCCCACAGTCTCAGTAGCTCTTACATTGCGTAGCCATAATAGCGAGAAATTTCCATATCGTTTTCCCTCTGAAGGAAAACCTGCTGTTTCCTTAAGGTAGTATCGTTGGCAGCCTTCTCCTGCTCTTGCTGAGCCCGCCACTTCATGGCTTCCTGCTCTGGCCTCTGTGCTGTTATAGGATGTGATATGAGGGATCCAGGAATGTTCACTTTCCTCCATGGAATTGGTTGGCAGCAGAAGTCTTGTAGGAGATACTGGGATTGATTCTTGGGAGGTGACGTGTCCTTGGTCAGAGCAGCTGAAACGGGCTTCTTCTGGAGAGAACTGTAAGATGATGTTTTGTAGGGTGCAGGCCTGGCAGCAGCCACCTGAGGGACAGTGCTGGACTGGATGGAGTTTCTCCCACCGGGTGCGGTGGCATTGAGAGAAATTGTCAGAGCTGGTTTGGCAGGACCCACCAGATATGTGCTGGAAGGAGCTCATCGAGATGCATTGACTGTTGGAAGCTGAGATGATTTGGGGTGAGGTCTGTCCGGATAAGCTGCGCGGGACCTTCTTGAAGCCAAGGATAGTGCCCTCGGAAACACAGCTTGTATTTGAGTCTCGTCCATGGTTAGGAAAGGCAGAGGCACTAACTTGAGCTTCCCTCGAGGGACCAGCTTTTGTATGGATGGAGCTAGACCCTCCTTTTCAGTATCACATTCTGAGTTCTAGCCTGTGCCTTTGGTTTTCCCAGGGCCTTTCCCCTCACGTACAATGCCCAG